ATATATATATATATATATATATATATATATATATATATATATATATATATATATATATATACATACATATAAATATATATAAAAGGAAAAAAGAGAACGCGGTAAAAGATGACACCACGTGTATAATCTATCTAGAATTAAAAAAACGCCGATTCGCGACGCTGCTACCACAAAAGTGAGGAGTGATTGTACGTATATGCAGAAATAGAATTAGAGTTCAAAATCTTGGCAAGCGAGACGAATCGAGTAGACGGGACTGCGCTGATCACGCGCGTGCGGTTTCTATTGTATTTATTGAACATATTATACGCGCGAGAGAAACGTTGTTATATTCCAAGCCTTAAAGTACTGTCGATCTGTATGCACCATGTATAAAATAGAACAATAGGTGCTAATGAGAGAAACACCCCGAGCATTTTTTTTGTCTCTAATTTAATGTCCTCCTACGAAGATTGTATAAACTGTTACGACTGTGTAATAGTATAGATACGATACATTCCTTCTTGAAATTTTCGTATACAGTTATTTATTATTATTAGTCTATAGGATTCTTTTTTTTCATGTATACACGCAGGAAATAAAACGTGAATGTCGAGAAAAACTCCATAAATGTTTTATTAATAATTAGTTTTGTCACCCACAGACAGCTCTTACAGTATTCTTCTGCCGCTTCCTACGTTATTAGCACATAACTATGAGAGTGAAAAGGAGAAAAAGACAGAAAAATTATTAACATGCAGCATTGCAACGACGCAACTACGGCGTCAAAGATCACTGCCAATTCAAAGAGCAATTTTAGATGTTTATCTGCTTAAACTCTATAACACTCTATAGTAAGTACTAATTATAATTATTAGTAATTACTAATAATTATTAATAATCTAACATCAGTGTTATAATTTCCCACTCGACAATGTAAATGCAATATAACACGCATGTTACGTAACAGTTACGTTATTAAATAGCAAAAAGAAATTATAATATTGATGTAATGTTACCATCAGTTACTGTTTACTGGACAGTAAGCTTTTAGTTTTAAAATCTTTAATCATACATCATGTATATGCGCATAATGCATTTTATTTAAAAATTGTGCAAATATATGTATAAAGAAAAAAGCAATTGGATAGGAGTTGGAAAGAGGAATACGATTATGTTTCACAACGAGTGAGTGTCGATTTCTTCACATTCAAGATGTCGATCAAAGACGTCGTCTCGGTATAAAATGCATAAATAAAACTTGTATCATCAACAAATTAACTACAATCACACGTGTTTCTTTCGTGAATGTACGATTTTCTAAAAATACGAGTTGAATTTTACAAACACCATACGTATACACCTTCATCGAAAAGGAATACGACGATAGTGGAACAGTCAGTGCAAATGTTTGGTAATTGTGTTAAATTTCGTGGCAAACATTAAGGTGCCACGCAGTATATTCCATTTGTCCACGAATGGCCAATTTCGTCAAGAACGTCACTCGTCAACAACAGCAGCAGAATTTCTCTCCCAAACTGTGCAGCCTCTTTCTCGCCATAATCATGTTTATCGAAAATGCTGCGAGCCAGGCGAAAAAATTCAGCCAACTCGTGGATATTGCAAGCTGAAGCGCAATGCCGGTGTTAATTTCGCTGCCGCGCACCCACTTATTGGCGTCTGGCTGCAGGTAATCCATATAATCGAAGATCGCGCCACATGGTAGTCTCTTGTGAAGTACCTGTGGAATGATGCGAATTATCTTCGATTAATTCGTTGATTCATATTCAGATGAAAGGTTCACGAAAAGACTATATTTATATATGTAATTATAAGAAATTTAAATAATATAAGAGAGAAAAAGTGTGTGTATTGTATGTGTATAACCATTAGAGAGGTAGTAAATGAATAAAATAAATTTTAAGTAAAATAAATTTGTAAAATGATATATGAATTTTTTCTTCTATTTGATCTAATCTACACGTACATGAAAGTTTCATATGTATCATCAGATACTCTCTGTATAAGAAAGTATAATGTAAAAAATCTTATCGGGTCACTGGAAAAATTTGGTTCGATTCTGAAATCAATATTGATTCTTGAGTCGTATTTAATAAAAAAAAATTATATCTTCATCTAACAATCAAACAAACAAATCTTTGATAACATTTTGGTAGCTTTATCGCGCAAGGTGGTTATCGTCGAAAAAGGCAGGAGAGCCGAGAATCGAACTTCTTGACTGATTCAGCTGAATCAAAATCTTAATGAAACATATATTTTTTATACCTGAGCTTCGCGACCTCTCGAGCCCAACATTTGAATGAGATTTCGTCTGTATTGTCCGCAGGTTTCATAATATCCATCGGTTAGCACGACCGCATGAGCAAGAGACAGGCAACAAATTAATGCCGCGATGAAAGCGGCTGGTATCCACTGTTTACATTGCGTTCTCGATTTCACATGGATCACTACTTGTTCGTTAAAATTGCGCCTGAATAAACAATTTCGTCAATAAGTCAGTCAGGTAATTAGGAAAGTAAGATCATTAAAATATAACGGCGCAAACTATATATATAATATAAATTATAATGTATATAATTATGCATAGTTTTTATAATATATAATTATAAGAACTTTTTGCAGTATATATTATTAATATATATTAGTTTTATATATTAATAATATATACTGCAAAAAGTTCTTATAATTATACATTATAAAAACTATATGCATAATTATATACATTATAATTAATAAATTATATATATTTAATATATAGTAATTATATATTATATATATAATTATATATATATATATATATATATATATATAATATTATATATTATAATTATATATTATATATTTTAATTATAATTCGACACACACACACACACACACATATATATATATATATATATATATATATATATATATATAGATAGATAGATAGATAATAAGATAATATCTCGTCGCTCATAAATACCTGTCATCGTCATGCGCCACTGTGCCGTTAAGTCGCTTAGGCTCGTCCAGATTCTTATGTATGCAACATCTGTATCCATGATATGAGCCGAGGCACAAGCTGATTACGATGACAGGTAGGAGGGCGTACGCGCCGAAGTGGCAGAGCTTCACGTCGCCGCCGATGAAGGTGTCGAACGTGTTCATGCCGTACAATATGCAGCCGCAATTCATGTTGTAGCAAGTGTCCAAAGTCCAGGACCAATGCTGCCATGCGGTCACCAGCGATATGATAGACGTGACGGAGAGCACCATAGAGCTACTATAGAAAATCGTCAACCGATATTCCGCTTGCTTATTCGGCATCATGATTGCTTCCTCGATTGTTACTTATTAATCGTTCTTTTTCTTTCCTATTCGGATTGTCGATAGCCACGCGATTGATCCTCTGAAAAAGCGCTCACGGTTCGCTCGCTCCTCTTGTCGAGGCGGAAGAACGTTCCTCTTCTATTCATATCTTCATGATTGCGGAGTTCACGCACTACGACATGCGAGACGAGTTCGTCTGAAACAATGAAGAAGACGCGTAAGTCTCGTCAGTTTGCGATATCGTTTTCTACTTGGCACTTTTATGAATATATTAGCATCAAATTGAAATCGTTCCTTCGTGTGTCGCCTTCGTGCGATGCTGCGTGTTAATGTGTCGGAGAGAAACGTTCTCAAAAAACGAATGTAGCGTTAACAGCAATGTGAAATCGACTGCCATCCGCGACAGATGGGTCGACTCACATTTTGCCAGAGAAAAAGAGGAATGTTTATTGCATCTATTGACGTCATCCTGACGATAGAATTATGAATTACAGGCTCGAGAGGAAGACACGCGATTCGTTGCCGCGCGGCTGGTGTGCGAAGATCCGCGTGGGACTGTTCAAATATGCGGCGAAGGCTCCGACATATGTAAACATCCCCCGACCTACTATTTCTCTACGTTCGATGTGCTATGGACAGATCTATTTTCGGGCTAAGCCGATCGGCAGGATCCTGCGCTGGTGTTGTATTCTCTCGATCACCTCGACCATCGAGCCAAGTATCGCCGCGCGTTATCTTCACCTTCGCAGATCGCGGCCTTTGAAGACGATACAACGCACCTGTGATCCTCCACCGACGTCGAGTCGTCAAGTTGCAGTCTAGTTCAATCAGACTGCGTTTTCAGTTTGAATACGAGCTACTTGATAGTAGTTCGTTATCGCGCAATGTTAAGTAAGTATGCTTAAGTAATTCGTTATCGTAATATCAAGTAAAAGTCATCGAAAAACTGCGAAAACTGAAGAATAAAACTGAGAAAAAAGTTTATTATTAAACTATTATTATTAAATTTATTATTAAGTTTATTATTTAACTATTGAGTTAATAAGACTTGGCATGAATGAATAAAATTCACTCGAGCAAACACTTAGGCTCGATTGCACCAACGTTATTTTATCTTTAAGCGAGACTTAAATATGTGTTTGTCTTTATTTAGAAAGAAAGATAAAGATAGATACATGTTTAAGTTTCACTTAAAGCCAAAATAACGTTGGTGCAACCGGACCTTAGTCGATTGAATGAGTTATACGATTGAATGAATTATACGATTGAATGAGTTGCTGTGATGAGAGTTCACAATTGATTCAATGATTGCGATTTGGTCAGTAACTATATCAACGCAACTTATTGTTGCATTAACGCGTGATTTGTTCAATAGATACGATTCTTGATTTACGTTAAAAGAGCGAGAAAATACATGTCCAAGATTAATAAAAAGATTAATAAAAAGATTAATAAGAAGACACCGAGAAAATGACATTTGCGATCGATCAAGTACACTTCTGAAATACTTCGAACGCTTTCTTCTCTTCTAACAAATAACAAAATCGTAAAATTAATGTAAAAATAAGCCAGGAGCCTTACATGCAGGAGCAATCACACGTTTTCATGAACGAATTTTGTTCAATTTTGTTTATGATACGTAATAAGTTCCTTATTTGATTGGAAGATGATCTTAAAAGTAAATTTGCCGCTTACACACTTGAATGAATAAAATACCCGATTGAGAAGAGAAAAAGAGAGAGAGAGAGAAAGACACGATCTGACCACACACTATGAGAGCGAACAAGTTACTAAAACAAAAAGCATCTTAACAAATTGATCACAGTCGTTAATCAGTTGTTTAACGCGAATAGTCGTGATAAGTATATGACGAAGTGTATTTACGAAATTTGTACGGAATTACGTACAGATATTATCTCCCTACATAATTAATCAAATTCAGTTGCGTTGCAACACCAGCAACAGCCACGGAGCGCGTATGAGAAATCGACACGCATAGAAAAAGAAGAAATATAAATGAAAGAGAAAAAAAAGAGAAATAAATAGGAAAACAATAAAAAGTAGTGCTTACACAAGTCCGAGCATCGCGTATGCACCTGAAGATCGAAGATGACTGACTGACCGACCGACTACCTCACAAAGACAGGCTGCACTTACGTTGATTAGCCCTGGCTGGAGACAATAAAACTCTCCTTCCCCGTCTGGCTGATACCACTAGAGCTGGAAAGAGATGGAGAGGCGCTAATTAGGATTGATTAGCTATTCGCTTTCGCGCGAGAAACACGTTGAATATAGATATTTCAATTGCGATGCAGGATGCGACGCGAATTGTAGCGCAAATAGTGCACTACACGCAAGTTCGAACGATGAATCAATCCTTCAAACTCCCATATATTACGACGTAGTAGTGTCCTCGAAAATCAGAACCAATTCCTTTGCCTATTTCGCGAGAGATCTCTACTATGATTTCTGCAGACTCTTAATGATTGTGCGAGAACGAAACTGTCGGTCGGTCTCTCTGTAATATAAAAATAATACTTCCGATCATTTTTGCGCGCGTTACACGGAACGACGTAAAAGTTCCGTGATACAGACAGAGATAAATAATTAATTATAAATAGAAATAAATAATTATTTATTGCGCGATAAACGTGCGAAAATGTGTGTTTGTGCCGTGGTGGATACAAAATAGTATGTATAATCTAGAATAATTGATAAGATTAAGCAGAGTTTCATAGAATTCAACCCTTGAATTGAGTATTTTTGGAGAGAAAATGAGAAAGAATAAAATTAGAGCGACTTTTGCAAACTGTCGGGAGAGAGAGAGAACTACTTTCGATTCTCCTGTCTTTCGTAATCGTAAAAGCTAATAAGAGCCGATGCAAGATGTTTAGTGCAATAAATGGAATTTCTTATCAATTTTTCTATAACCAGGGTTTCATTTAATTAATAATCGATCTAAACGTTCGAACCTCCTATTCAAACTCTTTTTAAAACATTTTATAATTTTCTCATTACTTTGGTCATCACTTTATTGTGAATTTTATAGAGATTTTCTGTTTCTCTTTTTGTTCCTATGTGACGAATCAGAACTTTGTATGCGCTTTCAATAGTTTTCTCGCTTTCTGATTTATTACAACATATGTGACAACTTATATTGTTTTGCTTGTGTTACCATTTGTGCATTGATTTGATTTAAAAATTGATGTTGTACTTCACTGTGTGCGAAGTGGGTCCGGAGTGGATCGAAACGTTTGAATCGATGACTGATATTAAATGACATCCTGCTTATAAAAAAATTGATCTATTGAGAAATTTCATTTATTGCACTAAGACACTCGTGTATTGGCTCTTATTAGTTCTTACTTTTTCGATTATATCACACAGAAAGCCTTGTCTCTGCTAAGTTTAACCTCTGTCTTTCATTCTCGGGTCTTAATTGGAGTCTTCTCACTTGTCCGTCTTCTCCCTTCGGTGGATTAAAAATCATGATGAAATAACGCGCTTGATAAGAAACAGTCATGAACAGATAACGGTCGATGGCTCGCGATGATGCACGCATAGGAGGAATCGTAGAGGAGCATGGCTTGTCGTGATTTTTAATAACTCACTCCGTCGAGCGAGTACTCCTCGGTTTACCCTTGAGACTCTCACACCACTCCGTGGAATCGCATCCGCCAGTGCCGGGATATCCGAGCTGGCTGTTACTTCTACCACTTCCGTCTCTCCGCCTTTTACGTCTAGCGCGTGTATGCGCAAGAATTACGTGTGTCTTGTTTGAATAAGCCACACATTCTCGTAAATACTCATCGCTGTCTCTCACGTTACTCCTCCGCGCTCGACTGTGCTCGTCGTAGATTTTGTGTCAAATATTGACACGGGGCGAGCCCGATCTCCCGACGTCGCGTTGAGAACGCTGCTCGCGGCTGATAAATCCGACAAACAATGAAACCATCGTGTGATTTTTTCGCAGGAGCGATTAAAAATCACGTGCTCTCTTGAATCTCTTTTAATATTAAGTATCTATGTAAACTATTAGAAAAATATTCGATAGATTTCGATGTAAAATATTCGATGTATTTCTTTCGTTCTTTGTCGCCGTAAAAAAAAATCTCTAAATATCTCATTAATAAATTAATATTTAAGATACCTAAATATGTATAAAGGTCGTTTCGCACATTTCAGTCAATTAAAGTGCTTATTCTGAACTCTAAATGTGGCTTGTAGGCCTTCTGACTTTCAGTCACATTTGGAAGCGCTTTTGTCGACGAAAGAGAATTCAGAGTAAGAACTGACGAGATTCAAAGTAAATCACACACTTCACGCTGTCATCTGGTACACATTTGTACGTCGCTCGCATTCTCACTTGGTCGATGGCACAATGAATCTATTCGCCGTGACACTCGTTTAAGATAAAGATGTCGAGTGTGTTCAGTCGTTCCAGATAAACTTTTATCTAGGATCGATTTAGTATTACCAGCGCGGATATACGCGAACACCGATGTAAATCGTGGCGAAATATTCGTCAAACTTGAATGACTTTTCGCACTTTTCCGCGTTTTATAATCTGATCACGTCACGTCTCGTTTTTCGCGCGACGTGTTCGATGTTCGAGTATCGCGCACCTACTGTATTCCGGGTGTTTCTCTCTCGTGAGCCGTGGACGGTATTACGAAATGTTTGCGCGCTTCTGCACGAATCGCGTGACGCCGCTGCAAATTATAAGTGTTCCAGGTGGTGGTGTCTTTAGCGCTTTATTACTTTGATATGTACGCACATCGGCAGCCAGATACATTCTGATCGGAGAAATCCCATTCTTGTAATACGAGGAAACGTGATACGATGGCGAGATAAAATCCGATAAGATTATCATGCCGTCTTTGTGGCAATTCTGTTGAGATCTTTCCCTCGTAGAATCGTATGGAGACATCTCAAGTCACGGTATATTTATTCTCAAATAAATGTTTCGGCATGACTTAAAGGAATACTGAAGCTGAAAATTTTACCGACTAAATACTGATATTTTTTCTGCATAATTTATGTCGTATTAATTGTACAGAATTATAAATGTTTTTACGCAATAAAAGTGCGTGCAAAAATAAATAAGACCATTGCTTACTGTGATAAAAACATAAAAAAGTTAAATATTAAATTTCAAACTGTCAGCGTAATATTTGCCTGATCCAAAAGTTTTGCACCTTGTACATACCGAAAGTGTGGATGTTCCAAACAGAAAAATTTTGAAGAACATTGCTGTATCTTCACATCTGAATTTAGAAGCTTAAGAATATTCAAAGTTTGCAGAAAGATTTCTACACGTGTGTGTATGCGCGCGTGATTCGATTTTCCGCTGTATATAATAAAACAAAGCAATACATATTTATGTAAATTCTGTATGTACAAGAAATACGAAAAGGATAGCATGATTGTGTCAGTAACGATCGTCTCTGCGTTATTGAAATTTTTCGAGTTCGTCGTTGACTTTAGTATTCCCTTGAGTATGTACGTAATTTAAGAGATAGAGAAAACGTACGTGTGACAATTAGGTCGAATATAAAACACTCGGGTAATGTTCGCTGGTACACTTGTTCTCGCGAACAAGATGAATAAACTCGCTCGGTCTAATTGGATTTATTATCTTTTTCTTTTTTCTTGCATACTACTCCTTAAAACGTAACATCTAACGAGTTAGACGTATATTATTTACTGTACTAACGCAAAATACACAAGATGTCCGTGAAATAGCAGTATTCGATCCAATTTGTTTCCCCTGTCAAATGTGGATTCAATACAAATGTCGCGTGTCAAAACATCTCAGCGAACACTTCCTCGTAGAATCTCATTACAAGCCTCCATTTATTACGTTATTAGATACTAACTTTGGTACAACATGTACACCAAGACTATTGTACAAAATTCGTGGTTTTATACATGGGAGAAATCAGCCTTCTCTACCGAGATAAATGAAGCACTTAGTGAATGAAAGTTCTTTGTGTCACTTCACATCTCACACATGACAAGGCCAATTCCGATGTCGCGCAAGCCTTCATACTTCGCCTTATAATTTCTATCTGAATTACAAAACATCGATACGTATCTCTTGTACGCGCTTGTCATGTTATTTCCTTAGTACAGCCTGCAACACAGCAGGTACACTATCACTTAACAATTTATTCTTTATATTCTCCATATATTCCATCTATAAATAGATTCGTATAGTTTGTCTTCTTTAACACTCTTCAGCGCTATGGTTTCTGTGATGGAGTGGGGTAACGATTGCGAAATGTAACGTAAAAATATACAGGAGAAGTATAATTTAGCTAAATACTTTACTATATATATACACGTACTTTTACGACCGAAACCCCCAATCTTTTGCACGCTGCGAGGAAAAGAGACCGTTGAAGCCACCGTTGCTCCATATGCTATATATCGTTGCGAGACCTGCCCCGATACCAGCCGCGAAACCGGCTTTCCTAACTCCAGCTAAAATTGATTTTTCTTTTTATAATTATATATTTAAATTATGTATTTAAATTATATATAAAATTTCCTATTTTATAATTAAAAATTATAAATATATTTTTATAATTATAATAATATACTGTAATAATTATAACTATACTGTAATAATTTAATAACTATAGTAACTATAATAATTGTAAAACTATAATTATTAAATACATATTAATGGCCATATATATATAAGTTATCCTACCAGCAGATCTGAACAATGCAGCACTCACAGCTGCTGCGCCCACTGTGTTGAAACTATCATCAGTTCCTCTGAGCCAAGTAATAGTTATGCCAGTACATGTGTACATTATCGTTAATACACCGAAAGAATTTGCCATATTGGCACCACCCTTCATAACATGATTGATCAATCTAAAAAAAAAAATAATATACAGGATGTCTGGCAATATATAAAATATGTTGATGCTTTAAGTATTAGTCTTCAAGATATCAAATCAACAATATCAAGGTATTGTAATTGTATCCTTCAACCTATAACACAACTTATAACTGTGTCTAATCAAATCTCTATGATTTGAATCTGATTTTTTTCACATCTGGTAATATATAAAACTCTTGTATACATGTAGATTCAAACTGAACAAAAAAGTTATCTATTAAAGAAGATATACTGATTTAAACATAATAAATACATACTGATATATGATATAAATGTATACGATATATATAATGTACATATTGATTATATTATGAACTATAAAAATATATACAGATTATAAATAATGAACATATACTGATATGGTTGTATGATACATACTAAATATGTAATATATGCTAATTTAATATGAATATTTGATATATAGAAAAAGACCATACTGTGTCCTTCTGAGTTTGCCAGTTTCACCAGCAATAGTTGTTGCTTTAATGCCTCTATATAAACCAGACATTCCACCGATTCCTGCACCCAATAAACATGCTGTTCCAATCTGGCCAAAAGCTAATTCCAAACGACCCCTTTGTTTTACACCACCCTCAGGAAATATAAATTCTGGTTGACTAATGGGAAGATATGATGGGTCGACATTCATATATGGGCTAAGAGATAAACCTTGTTGTACCGTAACTAAAACATAAGTATTCTCTAATTTAGAAAAGGCAATATAGCTTATTAAATAATAATTCATTTATTTTATATTCATATGATGCAATATCTGACTCATTGTTGCATTAATGCAACATATATTCTTGTTCTATTCTTGCATATTATTATCGCATACATATATACTATTGTCACGAATATGATCGTGTGTGTGTGTACATAATATTTATAAATAGTATATACTTATTTTTATATACGACTTGTTATATACAACTCATACAAAAAGTTAAATTAGGTTAGGAACACGTTTCGCTTGAAAGAAGCGAATGATCATCCATGACGCAATGTAATTTTGAAAAATACATAATCTTATATATTTCTAACGCTTTATTCGATAACATTCAGAAACAGTCTTGTCGCTTACAAAAAAAAAAAAAGATTAGGAAAGCTCGACAATCAAAAACGTGGAGGCAATCCCAAAAATTTCGACGTAGTGCACGAAATGTTTACCTGGTACGTTAGTGTTACTGTATGTTCCATTATCGGCCTCGTTCTTTCTTGAATTATTCATAAAGTTTAACATTTTGTCAAAACAATTTCAACAATTTCTTTGTACTTCACGACTGGAACATGAGATTCAGATAATCATGAAAAGTTAAACGACACATTAGAACGAGCCGAACATACCGAGAAAGCCGGGTCGAGAGTGATGGAAGGAGGGATTTTTCTATCACTCAATCATTTCCCCCCCACTACATCACCACCGTATAAGCTTGTTCGTTTTGGTTGCTCCTTTTTTATTTTGATTATTCAAGAAGCGGATAAAAAAATGCAGTAATGCGGTGAGTCAGAAGTAGAAAAATAATGTATTAATTACATTTTACTATAAACACAATGTATACGTCAAGGTGGTAGTATGGGTGCGTTCCTACTTAGCGCGTCACGCGTCGCATCGTCCTTCACGGACCAATCAAATCGTCCCATTTTATTCGTCGTAAAGTTAGGCAATAAAATGGGACGATTTGATTGGTCCGCGACGGACGATGCGACGCGTGACGCGCTAAGTGGGAACGCACCCGTAGTATGGTTCAACAATACGTCAGATGTAATTTTCAAGTAGTATAAGTCAATGGCGGATTAATCGAGATATTTTATTTTCAAACAGTATAATACAATTGTAAGTAGAAAGATCTTTTTATCATTAACGCACTTCAAAGACAAATTAAAAGATCTTTCATATTAAAATAGCTACTATAGAACTATTTTCAATCTTTAAGAAAATGAAAGAAAGAGAGAGAGAAAGGAGAAAGAAAATAAAAAAGTCGGTTCAATATTGGCCGCATTCCGTTTCATGCAGTACCCGCATTTATCTATAGTTCATTGGTCTGTTCTTTTTAGCTGCACTGTTGAACTAGTGAAACAAATGGTCTGTTCTTTTTAGCTGCATTGTTGAAGTGGTAGAAGAAGTAAAAACGAGAAAAAATATATTTATCTCATTCTAAAAGCTGGTTTATGATGACCGTAATCCGTCAACTTATGCCGGAACCGTAAAAAATTGACCAATTACAGTCAATTATTTTTCTATAATTCGACTATGATTGGTCAATTTTTTACGGTTCCGGCATAAATTAACGGATTACGGCCATCGTAAACCAGTCTTAAGAAATTGACCAATTACAGTCAAATGTGAGGAAAATAATCGACTGTGATTGGTTAGTTTTTAAAGCTTAAGCTTAAATCATTTATTGTAGATCAGAATTTAAATATAAGACACGACTATGGCTGCATTTCGAAATTCACTGTCAGTACTGAAATTCTATAGTATACGTGACATGAATTATAGATTTTCAGTACTCGCAGTGAATTTCGAAACGCAGCCTATGAATTCCGGCTTTATCTGGAAATCGATCTATTTCCTTCGGGTAAATTCATGTAAAATAAAAAATTTCATTGGTAAACTCAATAAAACTTTATTTTTTACAAGTTTACGCAAAAGTACTCAAAATGCTTTTACCCAAGTACTGAAAGTGTAACGAAAGAACGCACCTGCTGATAGATTTGGCGCGTTTTGTCATTGATTTTTTCGAGGTTTGCCGATTATGTAGCTGTCGCATATACGTAAATATATTGGTTCGATTTATTTTATTTTCATGTGGTATAGCTTTGTTGTTTAATTAGATGTGGAAAAAACCAGATTCGAATCGTAGAGATTAGATTATCGCAGTTATGTTATAGGATTATGTTGAAGGATACGATAAAGCGATTATTTTGATGACTAATACTTGAAGCATCAACATTTGCATTCGTTTGTTGCATCCGTTGTATTGATTACCGTAAATTGTTTATTAGATGAGACAAGATGTCCAAGATACGCCGGCTGTCACTTCGCGGTATTCGCAATTTTGAAGATAGCGAAGATGCGTTGATACGTTTCTCCTGCCCGATGACACTGATCCTGGGGCCGAATGGTACGGGGAAAACTACAATCATCGAGGCATTGAAGTATGCTACGACCGGTGAATTTCCACCTAGCTCTGAAAAAGGAAGATCCTTTATACATGACCCAAATTTGGCATCAACTGGCTCGGTACAGCAGCAATGATATATACTATTTATCATCAATTGATTATGTTTATTATAATTTTACATTATATATCTGTATTACATTCTGTCATATATCTGTTGTATTATTCTTACTATATTTCTGTTCTATTGGCTTAATTAGACAATCAAAATTATGTCCCAGCTTTCTATTGTGATTAAAATATTTCTAAGAGGAAAAAGAAATGTTTTTTTAAAAATTTGGAAAGAAAACTTTAACTATTTTACTCATGTTTTATATGGCACTTATTGTTGCAGGTAAGAGGTGTCGTTAAGGCTGAGATTGTCGATAATATTGGTAATACTTATACAGTATGCCGAACAATTGAGTCTATAAAAGCTACAAAGAAATTTAAGACTCTTGATAATACTTTAACCAGAATGAGTAAGGATAAAAAAGAAGTAAGTATACAAGTAACTATTTCTATAGACTACTGTACTGTTTAGATTTGTTTATTTTTATTTTCTGATGCAGAAAGCGTCGATAACCAATCGTTGCACTGATGTTGATATTGAACTCAGCATAGCATTGGGTGTTTCAAAATCAATTCTCAATTACGTGATATTTTGTCATCAAGATGAGCTTAATTGGCCATTCGATCAAGGCAAAACGTTAAAAGACAGATTTGATGAAATATTTGACAGTACAAAATTCAACAAGGCCTTGGAAAACATTGGAAAGCTCAATAAGGACTTACAGGGAGATATTCGAAGCTTGAATGCAGAGAAACAATCGTTTAGTGTTCTAGTAGCTGAGGTAAAATCCAGAGAGGCCAAACTTGAGGAGTACAAGCAGAGATTTGATAGTACAAAGGAAAAAATAGGAATTATCGACAAAGAGTTGGAATCCTTGAAAGAAAAGATTAAGAAGATGGAAGAGTTTAATTTAAAATACAAGAGCATACAAGCTGATGAAGGTGAGTCAAATGAGAACACGCGTGAGTACAAGTACTAAAATAAATTTATTTTTGCAGAAAAGAAGAAGATGGAGTTCAGTATGCACAAGGAACGATATGTAAAACTGAGAGATACTATAGACAATATCTTTGAAGGTACAACTGAGGAACTGAATGCACGCATACAGTCCTATGATTCTCTATTAAAAGAGAAGAACAACGAGATAACAGAGGTACAGTTAAATATACTAATCAAGATTTTAAGTACATTTTTTATATAGGATGTCTGAGACCACCTACACATCCCTTTCAATGTCAAGGCAAGATTTTTTATCAAAAATCCCCAAATATTTTATAAATAAATCGAATACTTATATATCAGATACTATACATTGAAAGAACTTTTGCCTCTGTGTGTAATCTGAATCTGCAATAAAAATTACCATATATCTCACTTAAAAAATTAAAATTCCAATCCGGATAGTCTATTTCTGCTTGGAAACGGAAGTTGAAAATATTACCATTCGATAAAGTGTATCACATTTGATAATGTGATTTACTTATCAAGATTTTTTAGATTTTTTATAGGAGTCAGTAACTTTTATTAGCCTTTTATATGAGTGTTCTCAAATACTCTACATATATACTCTACATATATACTCATGACTGTTGTTTCATTGATTTGTCGTTTTCAGAATGAAGCAGAAATCAAAGATATCTCAAAGAAAGAAACCAGGATTTCAGATACTTTGGCAACGTGCAGAGTAACCGTGGGTACATTGAAACAACAAGTGAAAGATCACGAGAGAAGAATAAATCGTCGCAATGAGCTGTTAGACGACGCACTACAGGCTTGCGGTTTAGACACGGTGGGACCGGACGTGTCCGAGATAGGTATTTAAACAGAAATATAAAAAACTATTAGTCGCGTATAAAGCTTGACGATATTGAAGGAATCTATTATTTTTCTCTATTGCTAAATTATGCAAACATTTTGTATATAGAGGTAAAGGCCCTTACCAAAAGATTGGAACAAAAGATACGGGCATTGGAACAAGAATTAGAGGAAAATCGATCGGCTATGCAGAGAAAAGAAAAAGAGTTACAGAAGGAGGTGGACAATCTGCGTAGTAATCACTCGAAAATAGAATCCGAAAAGATTCTCAAGGAGAAGGAAGTAATCGAGATAAGAGATGATATCACCGCGATTCGTAATCAGATAACACAGGTTAATATATTTTTTATTGTGAAACGTTTAGGAAGATTTTTAGCTTTTTGATGTAAAAGCAGAATCTTATCTCAATTTGTCTCTTTTTTTGTATGTAGATTGGTGCGTCAGGAAATAAGTTAAAGTCTCTCGAACAAGCACTTCAAACGGCGAAACAGAAGATAGATGAAATCAGTAAGACGTTAGACGTGGACTCTGTTAAAGCTGATATCGAAAGCAACATCAAATCCAGAGACAAGATCGAGGCAAATTTGACTGTAGTCGACGATGAAATCTCTTCCTTGCACAAACTGAGCTCGTTAACGGCGGAATTTGAATTAAAGAAGTCAACCTTGCAATCTAAAGAAAAGGAATTAGAGAACTTAAAGAAAAAACACGAAGAAAATATTAAAGTATTATTAAACATTCGAGAATTGCAACATACAAAATTGACAAATTCCTTAAAACGCGTTCATCAGGAATTGGTATGTAATTAACACTAGTATTCATTTTTATTTGTGTAGTGTTTATACAATTATTAATGATGAATTCTTTAGGAAAAAGAAGTGAGTTGCTTGGTACGTGAGATACAAACACAAGAACGCAAAACTACTGCTCTAGAAACAACAGTGCAGCATATAGAATCTGATATTACAAAGAAACAGACAGAATTGCAACGTAAGAATTCTTTTATATATATATATATATATATATATATATATATATATATATATATATATATATATATTTTACAATTTTTGATATAATATTGATCATGTGGTTATCTTGGTACTTTATTTTTCAGGCGACAAGCAAAAGATATCTGTAGTATGCGATTACAAAGATTTTGATGAGACTTTACTAATGCAATCAAAAAGAGTTAAGGATCTTCAGGATCAGAGAGGAGTTTATGCTTATCAAGCTACAGCTTACAAAGAATATATAAAGAAACTCTCTGTGAAAGATCCTTGCTGCCCATTGTGTCATAGAGATTTTCGGGAGCAACAGAAAGTCGCAGACCTAATTCAAGAAATGGAAACCGATATAATACGTAATCAGCCAGGTCGTTTGAAAAAATGCGAGCAGGAATTGAAGACTGAACAGAAAAAGTATGACAATATGCTGCAATTGAAGCCTATCGTCGAAAAGATTATTCAGTGCGAGGAAAATGATTTGAAAAAATTAAAGTGAGTAAATTCCCTTTGTGTATTAAATTCACGTTTCATGTTTTACACTATACTACCGGTGATACTCTATAATTATAATTTTTCCCTCAACTAGCGAGAAGTTGGAGAAAACGAAGAATAATCTGACACAATCGAAGTTGTGCGTTAAGAATTTGGAAGCGTCGAAGGCAGAACCCGAAAAGAAATTAGCAATTCGGAATAATATTATCGGCGATATCCAGCTCTGGGATCGATGCGTAGACGAGATACAGCACCTGAAGAAGACCGTTGACAATTTGCAAACTCAAATGACTGATGCAGGTAATATTTTCAACAATTTCAACATAATGCAATTTAATATTATCGAGTATTGATTTTCTCGTTTTAACACATGACTATTTATTTTCCGCAGGTATTCAAACCGAAAGGACTATGGAAGAAGCACAGGCACATCGGGAAAAACTGAAGAACTCCTTCAAAGAAACTCGCAGTCATATTGAAACTCTGCAGCTCAAGTTGAACAAGCATAACGAGAGACTGCAGGATGCTAGAGCGACATATAACGAACTGCATGAAGAGCAATTGCAGATAAGTTCGAATATGCAGAAGCTGAAGCACTTGAAGGAGAAACAGGAAGAACTGTACACGCGGGAAGTCAGTGTGGGAGAAACGGTGGAGAAATTACGGAAGAATCTGGCGGATGCTGAGGATCAATTGCATTCTGGCATACGGGTGTTGGACAAAACCAAGGTTTGTTTTTCCGATCGGTCTAATCGTTTTAGAGTTTTTATATGTAATTATTGCTATAGGTTTTGTAATTATATATAATTTTATACTTCGTCTTTTGTAATTTTATAAAATAATTATACAAAGTTATATATAATTATATAATATTTTTATATAAAACATTTTTATAAATAGAAGACTATATAACAAAAATTTGTTGCAGGCGGAAAATTGGCAGAAGCAAGAGGCCGATAGAAAATCAGCGGCGGAGAGTAACAGACGTTTATCCGATTTGCACAAAATAATAGACGAGATTGAGTCGTTTATCAACAGCAACGTGTCTGAGAGACTCGCAAAGTACGAATGCGACATAAAGACCTACCAAAAGTCGTTGGAGGAACTCACAAACAAGCGGAAGAATGTGGAGCAAGCGATAGGCAAACTGAAGGAGGATGTCGCCACTCAAGAGATAAAAAAGAGAGAGATGCTCGACAACGTGACATTGCGTGAGACGAAGGAAGCGATGGAGACGTTAAAAGAGCAATACCGGCAATTGAACGTGCAACTGAAGAACATGAATTATGACGAAGTAGCGAAGAAGTGGAAGCAGTTGGAAGACGAGAAACACACCACGCTTCGTCAAGTAAGTGACACACGTATGTCACGTTTGTCGCGTTGTATATCGCTTGTACGTCAACTAACAATATGTATAATTATGTTCTCTTTTTAGAGAAATGTATCGTTGGGTAAACAAGAGGAGCTGGAAAGAATGATTAAGCAATACACGCAGGAACTGGGAAAAGAGGATTACCGATTCGCTCGTCGTAATTACACTAACAAGTGTATCGAATTAGCGGTGAAGTATTACATGCGAAATTGCATATATTTTGGACTTATATATGCACTTAGTAGCTCTGGACATTGTACTGAGACTCGCCTATTTTTTTCTTTTTAGGTCCAGGAAGAGACGATTGCCAATTTGAAGGCCTACAGCCAGATTTTGGATACTGCGATGATCGAGTATCATGAGGAGCGCATGGCGACGGTGAATAAAATAATGAAGAAGCTGTGGAAGCACATTTACAAAGGCACGGATACGAGCAGCATACAAATTCGTACTGAACCAACGGAGGGTGTAGGCAGCAACAGGAGAACCTACAACTATAAGCTAATTCAGATTAAACACGGCTGCGAGATGGACATGAGGGGACGTTGCAGCGCGGGGCAAAAGGTAAAAATCTTATTTAACTTGCTAAAGTGATCTTATGAATATCTTATGAATATCTTATGAATCTTATTAAGATATTTAACGTGGAATCGTTCGGTGTGCGTATGATAATTAGTAATGAAACAACATTATGCGTTTACGTAAGACTTGCGCTTTTTCGCAGGTGTTAGCGTCGATCATTATAAGACTCGCTTTGGCGGAGACATTCTGCAAGGATTGCGGTATACTCGCGTTGGATGAACCAACGACGAATCTGGACGAAGAGAATGCGAACAGCTTAGCGGACACGCTCACCAAGTATGTATTCGTCTGCATCTGAGACGCGGAACTGTAATAAATAATGTAACGTAATACACACATTTTATAGAGTGGTGGAGATGCGAGCGAAGCATCAGAAGAATTTCCAGCTCATCATAATCAGCCACGATGAGAAATTCCTGCAAAAACTCGCCGATCTGAACAATCATAAAAAATTCCACGAACTTTATCGCAAACAGAAGTACGTTGCATAAAGACGTTCGATTTTTGTGGGGCGTTAAATTGTCAGAAATTACTGAACACTTCTTTCTTTACAGCGGATTGACCGCCGTGAAAATTTCCGACTTTAATGAATCCACGAATTGCTTGGTGAACATCAAGGACGAGGATGAATCCGACGAAGAGGAACAGCGTCGTCCTCCGTCGAGAGGTCCGGACAACAATTTGGCCACGGCCAGTACATCGCACAGAAAACGATATAACTTGATGATCGGATCATCGGATGATGAAGAAGAAAGGCCAACTAAGAAAAGATATTGCTTCAACGAGTGATTGCTTCCTACTTTTTCTTCCTTTATTTTTTTATATCTTAACGCCATATATATATATATATATATATTCCATTATATAGTATATACGTTATATGTTCTGTTTACCGGATGGTTACCAGAGTGTATGCACATTGTGTTAAGTTATTCTTACAGAGAGAAATTGTTACAGAGAAGTTATATAAGATACTTGTGAACAGAATACCTCAAATACGTTACAAATAAATAGAAAGTATTTTGTATATCACCTCAGATGGGTTGACTTTTTTACCAAAAGATATAACAAACTCCTCATAGTTTGTAATCGTATAAGAATAAGCAAATGTATTCGTAGCTGTTGACATTTGTAATCTTCACGTATCTGTTGACGTAGCTGTTGACATTTGTAGTCTTCACGTATCAAAATTTACACGCGGTTGTGTCAGATTTAAGAAATAACGTTAACATTTTCGTGGATATTCTTTGCAATAATATTTGTACGACTAAATTGAGCGAGGCAAGCGTGCTCTCCTCGATAGTATAGTGGTTAGTATCCCCGCCTGTCACGCGGGAGACCGGGGTTCGATTCCCCGTCGAGGAGTACTTTATTTTTTTTCTTTTTTCCCTTTTTATTGTTCTTTATTAGTTTTTTTTTCTTAATATCTCATTAAGACGTAGATACAGAAATGCAAAGTGCCACTTGAAAAAGCAATATAACTTGGAGTAAATTGTTCAACGCGCAACACAGGAAATATCGACGTCCTCGTTAGCGCGATTAGCATTTTCACCCAATTTGCTCGAGATGACGCCACATAATCGAATGAGACTCGCCGCAGCGTCGATGGAGATGGCGCGTCGGCGAAGTGCTCGTGATATATCGAGATATATCGATATTATCGAGTCGTTCACTGACGTGCCATTGATCGATACATCGATCGTCGTTGCAAGATGGCGTCACTTCGAATGGAGGCGAGGATCCACTTCGAAAGTGCATCATACCGAATCTGAGGCAGAACGGAGGACCCAAAAAGTCGCGTGCTTCTCTTGGCTGCTAGTTACGTAAGTTTTACTTCAATATACGTATCTTCATCTCATGGCATTACACTTCAGACAAGATCTCACCGAAATCACCGGATACTTATCACGCGCATACAGTACAATCTCACATCAAAAGATACTTGCAATTTCGTTCACATGAGGCTCAATGCGTGGTCTCAAAGACCTGATAATTCGCATTCTCGAGACAAAATCCCGCGGACAGTTATTACGATATCGCGCGTCTTCTTCTAGCCGTAAAACGTAAATCGGATTGAAGTCCTCACAAGGTTATCTCACATTGAGAAAAAGATACTCGATCATTTATTCATGGGATATCAAGTTTATTCGCCAAAATAAACTTTATATCCCACAGGTGAATTTTCAAGTACTTTTTTCTCAGTGTGCGATCGCGAGAAGGACGTTGAGAGAGCGCTGAGCGTCCGATTTTGCGATCGATCGGCCGATTGAAAATCGCCGAAACGAAACGTGACGTTGCGCGGAATCAATCGGGAAGTTAGCCGCGGGCTACGTTTCGCGTTTCCCGATATTGTCTCTCTCTCTCTCTCTCTCTCTCTCTCTCTCTCTCTCTCTCTCTCTCTCTCTCTGTAGCACCACGCATCTCGATGATGACCGCCATAGTTAGCGCGAGTTATCGCGAATCGTTGGCGAACGCGCCTGGAACAGGCGAGCCAGGCGGCATCGTAATAAGCGGTAGCTGGCTGCCGTTGCTGCTGCTGCTGCTCGGGGAGCCGTAACGTCATAATAGAATAGCGATGTTAGTAATACCATCGCGCGGCGGGCGCGCGCGACTGGAGGCAAGCGGCCGGGCGATTGACTGGCCCGGCGCGGCATAGCGAGTCTAACCAATTTGCATCGCATTGTGTACTCGTTACGCCTCCATCTGCGCGCTCTCGCATGAACGCACGAATATACGCCGCTTGCGGCCGAGGCGACGTGGACGAACGGCGGCGTCAGCGCCGGCTCGACGCGCGCCGGCGCCCGCGCGCGAGCTCTTCACCACAGAATTTTGATGATGTTTTGCGGTGCCCGTTTTGGGCCCGCAGCTCTTTCACGTCGCGTGGACGATACTAGGAGCTGAGTGGGGCCGATTAAAGTTAATATTATTAGGCTGAGAGAGACATAAGCGCCTTGTCTCTTCTTCATTTTTTCTTCATTTGTGTTCGCCTATTTGTTGCTTCATGAGCTCGATAAAGTTGAAGATTTTAGAGAGAAACGACTGTCAGAAGATTGGAGAGGTCGATTGTTGTCAAACGTGATTCATGTGCAACTGCATGTACATAGATAGAATGTTATATTAGGAAATAGGGGAGAACGCATAGTTTTCTTTTCCATATAAATTTTGTTCAATTTTATTATGTTTTTAGTAGTTCATATACAAAAATGGGGATTGTTGTCAGTAAGGTCTATCTTGTTGCCGAGGCACGTGATAAATTTCACTAGAAACAACAAGTGTTTTGATAACACATCTCAGATTCTTAACATATTAACAGCACTTATGAAAGATAGAAGGATAGTGAATTATTACAGAATGTTGATCTATTCCTCGATTACAAAATTCTGTGGCAATTTTTACTGTAAAATTATCTCCGCATGCAAAAAAGTCGCTTGAATTAATACGACAATGAAATCAACACAACTAAATACATTTTGAATGAAGGAAACAGAATTTCTGATTACTAAGTATTAACCAAATTCAGTTTTTAACCGATTTAAAATTAAGAAATTCTGTTCTTTTCAACCAAAAGGCGTTGAGCGGTGTCATTGTTATGTCAATTCAATTGATGTTCTTTCCTACGTAGCATCGGGTGTCATCAATCTTCGAACGATCTTGAGGAGAAGCGCGTGTGCCGTGATGTTTTCGTTATATAAATAACGTTTATGAAATGCTTCCAGTGTTTCGTTGGATATGTTTACTATCTTTACATAGTGACGCATTTATTGTATCAATACGCAGACGACGCGAGTCTTTCAAAACGTTTAGAATCTTCTTTCAAATTCTTGAGAACTTCCGGGGCGTTTTCTGTCAGATCGGCAGAAAGTTTTGAGACGAATTCTCGAACGATCCAGATGGCCTCGATCAAGCCGGTACTGGGCGAACGGCGTCGCCGTCGCCCTCGTTCCCTCGTCGTTTCGAGCATCCCGACGGCGAAACCGACCGCCGCACCGTTCCAGCAATCAGCGCCCTGGGAGAGCCGTGGAAACCGCGGAAACCCCCAACTCTATTATCGTTTCTGGCATCGTTATCGTTATTAGCCGCTCCATCGCCCGGCCATCGTATACCGGAGAGAGATAGAGGAAGAGAAAGAGAGACAGAGCGATATAGTACATATGTATATAGAGAGAGAGGAAGAGCAACTCGCTCCAACTACCCGCTCCGTTACCAGCCAGATCTGGCTCATCGCGTGTGCTCGCTGAACCCACGTTCTCTAAGGCTTGAAGTTTGCACTTACATTCACAAAAATTCTATGGTTTCGATCTATAAGGGCGTGAGCACAGACCTTTGCATAATGTATAAGGGAATAAACCAATCAGAACGGAGGATAGAAATGAGCCTCTATGATTGATTTATTTTCTTATGCGTCATACATTATGTTTTATGCAAAAGCCTGTGCTACACAAATCAAAAGTAGTAATAATTAATTACTGATATTTTCGATCGTAAGCCCCTTCTATTGAAGCCATGTTCCAAGGAGCTTGAAGATTGCATTTTTACTTCTTTAATGTGATTTGACTTATACATAACTTACAGATTTTATCCTACACAAACTGTATATAAATAACTAACTGTAAATAACTAGTCGCCGATATATTTTATAGTAAGTCTCTTAGACACATATTCTAAGCGCTGAAGCTGATACTTTTATTTAAAACCGTTTTGAACTTACAACTAACTCCAATTTTACTCCTATACAAACCAAAAAGTGACAAGAATAAGGATCGATTTTTCCAACCTCTTGGTAAACTGTTTAATTATATGTTAGAAACAAAATTCTCTTCAAATTGGACAAAGGCAGACATATGATTGAACTGTTAGTTAGCTTACCAAAAGATTGGAAAAATCAGCTTTTAGTCATCGACACAACAGTACGTCAAAAATGTGCCAATGCATTTTGCAAAATAACAAAATTATCTCTCGATTTTTTATCGCAAATCGTCGTTTCTCGCCGATATGTTCCCGTACTCGTTGGTTGCCTCCTTTAAGCCATAAGCTGTAAGTAAATTGGCCAACCACAGTCGATTGTTAGAAGAATAGTTCGACTCACGGCTTACAGCAAGGTTGTAGAGCCAGCCTCAACCATTCCACTCTTTGCAGCTTGCGAAGCAGTAGACGGCTCGGTAGAGCCGACACCCGTTCGTGTAATAGTCGCGATTGATTGATCGTATTGTTGTGCCACCGATGCGGTGATATCGACTCACGGTCGGGATATCTCGCCAAAGCAATTGGAGAATAGAATCGTGAAGCGGGAGATAGAGAGAGAAACGGATATGGACAAAGAGGAAAGATCCCCCCCTCGGCAAGCATCTCCAGTGCGCTTTGATCTCTTTCTCGCGCTCCTGATTCGACCCCTCGACGACCCGGACGAGGGACGGGGCGACAAGAGAAGGCTCTCGTCCGTCCGCGCCCCCTCTTCAAAATATCAACTAAACGATAACTGTATTTATTATTCATTCGGCCGCCTCTTTTCCCTTCTCTCTCTCTCTATCTCTCTCTCTCTCTCGCGCGCGCTCTGCCCGCCCGTCCACCCACCCGCTCGCCCCTACACGTCCCCAATTTTACAAAGTAGTTTTTTAAAGAATTCCTGCGAGCGGCCTGCATCGCCCATGAGACAGCGGAGGCAGTAAGGGCTGAAAGTGCTCGGATCATGAGCCGTGGAAGGGCTCTCAGCTCCACGAGATTATCATACCCGATACGATATCCTTAAGAATAAGCGATAAGGATAACCGTCTATTACCGGGTAGAGGACGCGTCGGCAGAAATAACTATAAATTACAGTCGCGCAACCGTGTCCCTCCAGGCGCGTCCTTAGCAAATGTGGGGCCCGATTTTGCGGCATCCATTCGCGCACTGATAGCTCGACGAAAGCTCGATTGCACATAAAAATTAAGTGAGTGAAGAACGAGATCGAGAAGCGATCGTAGGGGGCAAGATTCGCACTCGCGTTGTATCCGTCGCAGAAAGAAATGAGAGAAAAGAGGAGAGAACCGACGGCAGGAGAGATCCCGACTAGTCGAATGGAGGCGAAAGGAGTCGAAGCTCGCGTGTACGCGTCTCGGTTATTTCGGCGGAAATCGAGTCTGGAAAATCCTCCCCGCGATAGACAACGGAAGCAAGGAAAGGAAGATGCCCGGGACGGATCGGGTTATCGGGATTAATGCGAATAGAGCGCGTCGGAGCCGTCTTCCCGCGATTCGACGATCGGAGGCGGCGGCGGCATCGTTCCCGTCCGTCCAATCCGACGATATCAATTACTTTGCGTTCGACGTTCTGCTCTGATATCAAAGCGGATTAAACCAGCGCCCGGCGGCCCCCGAGAATCTCCATTTAATTCTGATTCGGAATCGCGCCTTACAGTAGAATATACGTGCTACATCTACATCACAAACATACACACACACACACACACACACACACACACACACACACACACTACACATTACGTACGCACGTACATGTATATATATGGGGTGTCTCAGACCTCGCGACCTTCATTTTACCTAGAGGATCTCCGAGCAATGTTTCCTTATCAGAAATGTCGAGACAGGTCGTTATTCTCATGCCGACTTTTCAATTTTCAACATGGCACACGGAGAAGATGTACATAAAAAGAACGTTTGGTTAAACTAACGAAATTTTTCTGATACATATAAACGAACTAGAATATTTCGGTCAAAGTTATCAGAATTCTGTTCAAGTTAACCAGATCTTGTTAATTTCTGGATTCTGGTAACTTCTCAGCAAACACCAAGTAATAATTACATAACTATTAGTTATAATTATA